GTGTGCCATAACGCCACCAATGAGTGCCATTGCGATGTCCGCAGCGACTACGGGATCCTCTTCAACGACACCATCGACGGCCACCGGTGTCTACCACTCGTCGGTATGGACCAGAAGTGTCTCATCAGCGGTCAGTGTCTGAAAAGCGCCAAAAACCAGTTGTATTGCTACTACTTGGACGCCAACCTCCAGCGACTCGTCAAACTGGACCCGGAGGTGGCCATCGATTATCACCGGAGGTATAACCGCACCGCCGATGGCTTCTGTAGATGCGATGATCACCACTACTACGACTACGACCGCAACCAATGTAGGCATCAAAACGCCTCCAGGGGTGCCGATGGGTTCGATCTGAACCTCAGCCCCATCTTCGAGGAGTACTTCTGCAGTCAGTGTCCGACGATCGACGAGAACTCCTTCTGCGACCGGAAGTCGCGGAACTGCTTATGCAATGAGGGCTTCGCGAAGAACTCGTTCGGGAAGTGCGTCCGTATGAGACAACTGTACGAGAAGTGTCACCAATCGGATGAGTGCGTCGTCGACAACGCCTACTGCGAGCCCATAGTCGAGGAGTGCATCTGCAGTACGGGTTACATACCGGACGCCCAGAAGCACCGGTGCCTTAAGGGCCGGGCGCTGTTCGACAAGTGCGCCGCCCATCGAGAGTGCAATTATCCGCACAGCCATTGCGATGCCACGAGATCCCAGTGTCTGTGCGACAACGCGTCCGTCCTGTTGAACACCTACTCACCGGTGTGTGTGAAGCGCACCCCATATGGCCAGTTGTGTCACCACCGGCTCCCGGATGTCGTGTGTCAGCTGTCGACCCGGCACTCGGTGTGCAATAAGTACACCAATCGGTGTATCTGTGAAAACGGCTTCATTTTCATCGACAACGAGTGCCAGAAGATGACGGCCTTTGGCGACGAGTACCACGAGTTGGAGGCCAACAAGAATCCCATGACTTATATAGTGATTGTCTTCTGTACGGTCTTCGGGTTCACGATATTCGCGTCCGTTTTGATTAAGACATTCCGGAAGCCCTTCTCGAGGACACAGTTGGCGTTGTATGACATCAACAACACGTTGAACCAAATGCAGGCTAATGGCGGCCCGCCGGCGGCTACCGGTGCCACCACTAGACTGCCTGCGGCTCCACCGGTGTATACGGAGTCGGTGGCGCTGACAGTAAGCTCAGGGACACATCCCGGCGCTGACAGCGAGGATAAGCCGCCGTCATATGAAGAGGCCATCTCTGGACAGTTCGCCGCCAGTTAGTCACGAAATGGTCGACCGGATTGTCCACTCATTGTTCACAGACACACACCACTCACACATACCATTCCTCAAAGCCTTCCGACATGCCTTCCAAAGCCAATCACTTAACTCGCAATTGGATTAGTGGTGAAGCCATGGATTCAGATCTGAATATATAATCTTTGATTTGATTTTTATTTATAACTGAATTTTTAATTATGTTTTTCTCATTAATTGATAACTCAATCAAAATCATTGTTTGCAATGTTTTTCTCTCAAATAATGGCAACGAATCTAATAGTTATTGAAAATCATGTTTTCATTCATAGATTATTGAGCCGTTTGTCGGCCAAAGAGTCTCCGATTTTAATGAAAATGTAATTTATTTTTAAACTTAATTTACTGGACTTGAGGGCAGTCTAGCACTTGATTTTCACACAGTTTTTGTTTCATACGATTATGCGTTCATTACCTCATTATACAAGTTATGATTGTTTTTAACTGTTTTTAATTTTGTTTTTGTTTTTTTAGAAAGTTTTTTGTTTTGATAATTAATTTGTGAAATATATATCTAAATAATATTCCGATTATAATGTGATTACGAAACGAGAGAAAATTATTTTTAATTAATTTGAAGTCACAATGGATTGAAATATATGCCAAAATCACAGCCATTCCCCTCACAGACATAACCATCCAATACATTGTGTTATATTTTTTCATACCGTCCCATAATTTGCAAATAAATTATTTAATTGATTTGTAATTTGATATTAAATTATTTACGAAATAAAATAATATTTTATCAATTATTTGTTGTATATTTAATTATGTTATTCAATCTTATGACTGATTATGAAAATTAATTGTGTTTTTAGTTGTTGCCATAAATAAACATTTCTCATCATATTTATTATCAAGGTATGAGTCACGAAATGATAAGCAAGGAAATGCCAATTGTTATGCGATTAAGTCACAAATATTTACACAAATTGTTAGCATTTTATAGCGGAAAATGACATTTAATTTCAAGTTTATTGTCGTTTAGTGACCACAAAATGATCGCTAACTTAGAAATTAAAACAACATTTAAGTAGATTTAAATATATTTATTATTAAAAATATAATCAGAAACAAAAATAACACATTTCATCAGAAAAAAACAGTTAAGATATGAAACAATATTTCAATTTATAAATTATCTCAACGACTGCATAACGATAGCATACAAACAGATCTCTTAAAACACTTAAACATGACATGAAAATCAAATACTTTTCGGCGGATTGGGTGCCAAACCGGTGAGGAAGCCGTCGATCTGCTGGATGTAGTCGTTCATCAGCGCCAGTATCTCCTGGAAGCAGTCGTGGGCTCTGTATCGACACAATTGCATCGCTTGGTGGCACCGGTCGCACCGGACCCTCAACTTTGCCAACATATTCTGCACACTACGGGGCGCCGGCGTCACATCCGTGTGACACACGGGTAGACCGTCCACCGGACAGGTCCTCTTGACGGCCCACCACTCGCGCAGACATCGGCCACAGAACAAGTGCTGACACGGCATCACCTGAACGGCCTCCTCCAAGACATCCGTACAGATACTGCACATCAGCTCCTCGTCCACTGTCTCCACGAACACCTCGGCGTCGAAACCCATTCCTCCCAGTCTTATGTCAAGCACTGTATGTATAATGAGATACTGTTTTAGTTACGACTGAAGTAATGATTGTTTGAAAAGTTTTTTTAATGCGATTTCATTACAAACTATATGAGCGATAAGAGTGACAAACATTGGACTCCAGTTCCCATGCGATCCCACGAAAGGCTACGCAACCACTCAAACGTCGCTTGAAATCAGTTGTTATACTGATTATCAGTACAATAGATGCGATGCCAAGGGTTACGCCACTACTCGTCATATCTCTTATCTCTCAACTTATTGTCCAAATATTATCGCATAATCGGAGGGAAAGGATGTGGTGTTCAGGCATTCCTCTCAACCAATGATCACTACGTTTTCGCTAATATATTACATATTTGTATAACTTTTAAACCCTCTATTAAAAGCCATGAATTGATGCAAACATTTAAATTGATATTTGACTATACATTAGGAAATCGTAAATCAAAATCAATTCGCATACATATGAGTCTAATCCGAGTTTCAGTGAATTAATTGAATAAATGAGAAAAACTATATAAACAAGTTGTGAGTCTTTATTTATTTTTCTACTAAAAGTTAATTATTGGTTGCATTTAATGGGGGTTTTAATAATTGTATCGCAACTTAGGTATATTTAGACCGCTATTTATGATGACAATTTAATTAACACGAGTTTATTAAATCTAAAACATATTTGCAACTCGAGTTTTATTATTTGCCATTCATTCATAAGACTAATCAATCAATAGCTAACATAAAATCTAACATGTTTAATACAAAAATTATCCTGATAATTTTTATTATTTATATATCGGTGGCAAGTACTGTATGCAAGGTATGTGTGACATATAATATTTAAATCTTAAGTTATATAATGATACCTATTATACAGCATAATAATTAATATGAAATTTAGATACTTGTTAATTAAACTTTATATTTATTTATAAAACTTTGACACCTATGTTTTTTAAAACTTACCTAGATTATGATTAGTGCGATAATGCAATATTATAAGGATAAGGAAATTCAATCACTTTTACGTTCATGAGTTTGTATTGTATTGTATTGTATACGGAAATAACTTATAAAAAACAAATTTCACTTGAATAGTAAAAGTAAGTCATCAAGCACACTGACAAAGTTAATATAATTACATTTACATCATATTATTGTTATATTAAATCCTAATTTGTTTAAAAGGTAAAATAATTCAAATGTGGTAAATATGAAAATTCTATTTATTAATAATTTAATTAATTAATTTCAAAATCATAACAAATATTGAGTAATTATAATTTAACTCATTTAAGAATTTAAGTGAATATTCTCTAACTTTGCTTCAATTCCTTCATATTTTGCATTCAAATATTCCGCAAAAAAGTTGTAATCATTTTGTTGAATGAGTTTTAGTGTGGAATCAAATGTGGGATCAGTTTTGAGACAATTCTTATCAATAGACCACTCATTATATTTGGCTAAGACTTGTGAGCACTCGGGTCTGTCTGTCCAGTGAGGGCCGGGTATGTGCGGGTGATTCCAGTTATANAACAAAAGCCCACAACAATCGGGAGTGGAGTCCAGTAATAGCCGATCCATACATACAAGTGATGTGAGGCCTACGGAACACGAGTCCAATGATTCACACAATGAAACACTTGTCGACGAAAATAGACATAAAAGTGAAGAAAATATCATTAAATCGATTCAATTGTTTCATGTTTTCGACGACGAGAGAGGATATAATATATTGTTTGTTACAAATCGTGGTTTGGTTTACGGTTTGGGATCTAATTATTGGGGATTTCTTGGTTTGGGACACAACCGCTTTGTCAGTGAAATCCAAGAGATTGAGAGATTGCGCCACAAGAATATCACACAATTCTTCAATGGAAACAACTTTGTGTTAGCCCTCACTCAACACAACTGCCTCTATGGTTGGGGTCTTAATGATTGTGGACAGTTAGGTTTGGAACTCCCGAATATGGATTTCCCATTTATAAAACCAGAACTTATTAATCCCGAAAACATGGAAAATAAGTCAATCTCTCAAATAAGTTGTGGTTATTATCACACAATGATTCTCACGAGTGATCGCTGTGTTTATGGATGGGGTTATAATAGGTACGGACAGTTAGGTTGTGGACCAGACTATGGTATACGAAAAGGGGTCACATTTCGAGTGAATTTCAATCCCTATCACGAAATCAAAAGCATTTATTGCAGTGAATACTCTTCATTTGCCATCACACCAGAGGGACAGGTGTTTAGTTGGGGTCGAAATGATTGGCATAATTTGGGACACGATTTATCGGGTAATATATGGAAACCACAACTCATTGCATACATGACTGGTATTAAGACTATCTGTTCCATTGGTTACATCACTTACTTCTTATCAAACGATGGATTCATTCATTTTTGCGGTCGATATGAGAATGAAAATAACGACTATTTAACACAAATATTACCAAAAGTATTAAATACTGATAAGAGGTTTACAGAAATGAATTCAATTATATCATATAAGGATGCCTTGTGGCGGCTTGGAACTATAATGAATGGCAAAATATATTATATTATTGACAAACCAAGCGATAAAATAATTGAAACAAATTATACAAAATTCTTCGACTTTTTCTCAAATGAATTTCTAATGACTTATAAAACCATTGATTTGTGTGATTATAAGGAATATAATGATAATAATTGCGAAGAATTTATTGCAAAATGTTTGGATTATTTGGAAAAAGTATTTTCTTCTATAAAGGAATTATCAAACAATGGTATGAATTGGTTGTATGGGTCATTCAAAAGTAGTACTCAAAGGGGACGGAGATGTGTTGTAGGCTTACTAAAGAGTAATTAAATTATAGGTATATTATTTATTTTTGCATAAATATAATTCAAATAATTTGTTTAGAAATTTGCTTACAAAGTACGTACAGTCAGCCAGTCATTAACATTCACGATTAACACATTTACTTGAACAAAAATATGCAAATCTCATTGAAATTAGTTTCGAAATTAATAAAATTAACTTGTACATTTTACAATATTCTCTTTTCGAACGCTAATTGCAGTTAGAATTGAAATCTAAAGAAATTGTCAGCAATTAAGCAAATTTCTAAACAAATTATTTGAATTATATTTATGCAAAAATAAATAATATACCTATAATTTAATTACTCTTTAGTAAGCCTACAACACATCTCCGTCCCCTTTGAGTACTACTTTTGAATGACTTTTTAAGAAAAATGAATTAATGAATGAATTTAATTTGTTTTATAGTTGTTTCCGAAGTGAATAATTACAACCGTTTGTACGAAGAGTTGCATTCTTTAGGTTCGGGAGCTTTTGGGGAAGTATTTGTTGTTAAAAATAAATATCAAGAACGAGAATATGCGGTTAAGAAAATAAAATACCAAGGTAATTTAATGGTATTTAGATATATTTTGTATAACCTCATTAAATTGTATTATACTGTATTCGTAGATCATCAAATTTTGTCATGTTTTGTCAAATTTAGAATTATTTATAATTATCAAAATTAATACACTTACAGGTGATGACCAATTACGGGAATGTCGGCGAGAAATGCAAAATTTGATAAAAGTTAGGTCAGAATATTGTGTCCAATATATCAGTGAATGGTATGAAAACAATGTGTATTACATTCGTATGGAGTTGTGTTCCCATAGTCTGCAGAATATTCTTCAGCACAAACCACAAGTATTTGGTCGACAACCGGGAAAACCCATGAATTCAATAGAGTTTTACATTTCGTGTCATATATTCAAAGAGATCTTAGAATGCG